ACAAGTTAATTTAGTTATACATTTTACAATTTCATTAAAAAAAAAAACACATCATAAATTTAATAATAAAAACATTTAATTTATATATCAAATCGATTCTTCTTGTTTTTTTAGTGAAATCATCAATTACATTATCATAAAATGAATTTTGGTTTTGAATTGTGGTTAACAATCGCTTTTCAATTGTCAAAAGAGACAGATCTGAAAGTCTATTTTGGGACTGGGAGTTTCTGAGATGTGTCTTTATTCTTTTTAAGCAGGAAAATGAGCGTTCAGCTCCTGCACTTGTGGCTGGAATGATTACAATCAATGATGCTAATTTTGTAATCTGTGGTAGGCTATCTGATAAGCCAGTAGATTTGAGATACAACCAAAGTTCATGAATGTTTGCTTTATGAAATTCAGTTGATGAGTATATAATAGAAAGTTCACTTCGTAGAATTGCAAAATCAAAATATTCACCATATTTATCTTTTAACGAGTCTATTGCATTTGTAGGAAATTTGTTGATATACTGCTCAAATTTTGAAAAATCCAATAAAGAAAAAAAGTCAGTTGAGTTATCTCTGTAAATCTTTCGTTAGTTTTTGAAATTAATACGTCGATGATTTCAAAATAGAGCCTTCGGTAATTTGTTTTTCTATCTACAGATACTTCAGCCACTCTTTGCCTTTTCGATCTTAACGGTGAATCTGTATGATACTGTTCCGATTTCAACCAAACGCGATCAAAATCATTTTTCATATTATTTAAATGGTTTAAAAAATCAAATATTTTTTTATTACAATAAGTCACATCAAATATTTTTGTTTGAATTATATTAAAAAGTATTGTTGCTTGAGGTAAAATATTTCCAAATATTGTAAGGAAAAAATTGAAGTCAAAATCTTGAATTGTTTGACAAAATCCTTTAGCGCACAATAATGTTTCGCTGTCCCATTTTTAAAACTTCTTCTCTGTACTCAGACATCATTTCAATAAGTCTACTATTATAATTCCATCGTGTTGGAGCCACAGACCGAAATCTCTTTTTGACTTCTTGATCAAGTGCATGAATTCTTTTTGTTGATTTTGAAAAAAATGATGAAAGACCAGAGAGCATGGTAAAAAATATTTTACACTCCTTTATATAATCAACAGATTGTTTTAATATTAAATTTAGTTTATGAGCATAACAATGAACAAATATCGCGTTTTTACATTTTGAGCGAACTAATGTCTGTAAACCGTTATGTTGTCCTGACATAACGGCAGCCCCGTCATAAGTCTGTGCCACTAATTTATCTACGCATTTATATTCATTTAATAAACGAAAAACATGCTCAGCTAAACACTTAGCAGAGCGATTATGACTGACATCTACAAATCCCAAAAATCTTTCTTCTACCCCTTCATTAGTCACATATCGTAAAATTGTAGATAACTGAGATTTGGACATAATATCTGTTGTTTCATCCATAATTATAGAAACAAAATTTGTATGTTCAATTTCGTTTTTTATAGTTTTTAATAAAACATTAGAAATCGATTGAATGAGATCATTTTGTATGTCCCCAGAGAGCCCAGAAAAAACCGTAGATGTCGATAGATGTCCACTTAATTTTGGATCGAGTGTACCCATTAAGTGTATTAACTCGACATAATTTCCTCTGTTGATAGATATAACTTGTTCGTCATGTCCGCGAAATGAGAGCTCTTGTTTTGCCAAAAAACATGTTGCATCAATTAATCGACTTAAGTCTTAAGACGTACCTATTATTTTTAACAGACTCATTATATTTTTTGATACTTTGTTTATATGCATCACTAAGACATGTTTATATTCTAATATTACCAAATTTCTTTAAAGAAATTAATGATTCAATATGAGAACGATTTATTTCGTGACGATGTTTTAAATTATGATAGTTGTTTAAATCACTGCAACCATACTTAGACCAAGTATTTGATTCATGCAAAAATAAAATACACGGCCAGCAATATAATTTTTGCGTTTTTTTGACAACCAGACAACCATTTGTTAGTATTATAATAAGAAGGATTAAAGTAACGAAAATTGTTTTTACATTTTGATTTTAAATCCTGAAGTGTTGGTGTAGGTCTCCCGTTATTTATAATATTTTGCTTTTCAATAAAAGTATTTGATCCAAACGATTTTAATAGTAATTTTTCAATAATACAATTACATTCGTTATTACCCGAAGATTCCATTTTTCCATAAAACGTAGTTCAATACAGATACACGTCGTATTCGATGGTTTATAGCAGTATAACGAATAAACGAATAAACAATAAACAGTGTCGCGTCACACGGTAGCGTATGCATTATGAAAAGTGCTTACGAACTATGTTATAATACGTGCCCCCTCCAATGACACTTTGTCTATGTCTCTTTGGTAGGCTCGCGTAAGCAGTTTCAATCCGCATTACACGGCGACGGTATGGAATATAAACTATAAATAAAGTAATACGAAAATAAATCGCTAATAATTATTATGGACATCGATAATGTTTACGACGGTGGGAGTGGTGGCGCAGTGGCCCGTACCACTACTTGTGTAAGCAACCATCAAACATGTTACGCACATCGTAAAAATAACTGATAACTTTTATTAAATTAATTATAAAATTATTTGACTTGATTTTATTTAAAAACTTTTTTTTCTTTTTTTCAAGTGTAAGCAGTGCTTACAGTGCTTACATGTTTGAATCAAAGGGTGTTTGCGCACAATCGTTGCACAAAATATATCGCTTATCGTTTGTGAATAATAAGGAAACGCTGCGATCCACTGCTGCAGCACCGGTCCGACAACGATGCGTATTCGCTGTTTGCGACCAACCAGCGGTGCGGCCTTCGTTATCACATGTTATTATCAGTTTTTCATCCGTCTTGTAACCTAACCGTTTTTTTTCAGTATATTCCGTGGTAGAAGTCAAACTTTTATTATAGCGAATTTTTTTTTTATTGTTCTGAACTTCATAAATTTACTTTTCGTCGTAGTCATGAATTCATTTCGTATTCTTCTTTTTCTTGCGTCGCAATACCTACTCTTTTGCAGTTCTATATTAATTTAATAAACTTTTGTCAGTACTGTCCGGCAACATTCAGTTGCTCTTCGTTAATATTTTTTCCCAAGTTTTAAGGTGTTCAATATAGCAATTGCAGTCATATCAGCCGTGGTGACAAGAATTGTATGTCGTGCAGTGAGTTGTATGCGGTCCATCATTATATGACATTATTCTAATAGTCGCACGCTTCGAGATCGTTATATTATTCCTGTTTTATTCCCTTGTTTATAAAATATGCATCTCGAATCGGTAGCGTAGGCTAAAAGCCAGCTATTTGTATAACGTCATACAGGTAATCGGCAGACGTGTCGTTATTACTATTATTAAGTATTATTATTACTATTATTGCAATAACTAGTCATTATTACAAATTATTATTTGTAAGCCATCTTGGGTAATTATGTAATTTATTATTGAACCGGTTGAGGCAAATTTTTAATATTATTATATTGTTATTATTTTGTACCCGTGTTATAGCCGTGTAGGCAAAATATTATCATTATTATTATTATATTATGAAGGTAGGTAAACTTAATTTTTTCTTTATTTAAATTAAGCGCTGATAGCGACAACAAAGGGTGATGCCTGAAAGTTGAAACTAAATTACTAAAGATGCGTCACTGGCTACTTAATCAGTTATAGATTGAAGTTAAATTCATTTATAGAACTTTTATCTTGTACGATCAAATTATATAATTTAGTTCAGTGCAATATGTGAGTGTACATAGACATACATTTTTTTTTAAATTCTCGGTTGTCGAGTCTATTGAGACTATTTTGATTATTCCTCCTCATCCGTTCTTTTCTACTGATGTTACTCTTTAGTCTTTATGGTTTATTTGATTGTATCTTTTTCGCGTCGATTTTCAAACAGTCTTCCCAGTACTATTCTCTTCGATAGTTCTAACTATTGACTATTAAACCTATTTTCACAGTCTTTTTTTTTTTTTTGTGTGAATTATTCTGATAATATGCGGGCATGCGGCTTTCGAAGACATTTAAACGATTTTATAAGTTGTTAATTTATCGTAACAACCGATTTTTACGGTGCAAACGAATTGCGTCCCGATAATATTTAACAACTAATTATACTAATTGTGTCCGATGTAAATACATTATTTTCTTCCCCATTTAATACAGACTTAAGACTCAATAACAACATTAAATAAATATTACAAATGTTATATTGCTTAAGGTAGGTAAAAAATATTATTTTTTATTGCTTCGTAATTATGTACATTAAAAATATTGTTTTCATCGTTAAATATAAAAAAAAAAAGAATAAAAATAAAAATAGTAAAAATATAAGTTATAATGTGCAAGTTATGTGTTATAATGTTATTATAATATTATTAATGGCATGAAAAAAAATTGAACGATACAGTTTTAACAAAATCAAAACAGATAAAATGTGATATTTCGTTCATGTCGTATTTAATCATTTCTTTTCTAAACAATTATTGTTTTTAACGTCTTATTTTTTCTATTAGACTAACATTGCGAATTTTTATGCAAGTATATTTTTGTATGCATTTAACCCTTTGTCGACCGACGGTACTTCTGAGTACCACAGTACAAATAAATATATATTAAATAATATGATTCGGTTATCTTTATTGTGACCCGTTGGTACGTACAAGTACCTCTTTAGCTACAAGAAAAAAATAAAACTATGGTCCAAATTTAGAAATATACCGTGTAAATAGTTGTCAAAGTAAACAATGTACACTAACATTCTTAGAATTAAACATGCGAACATTAGACTGGTTTTTAAATACGTACAAAAGCTATTTTTAGCATTCTTATCCGCTAGAATTGTTTGTAATTATGTCTAGATTATAAATATTGTAAAATTGTTTATATCTCAATATATTAAAAGAATGGAAAATATCTGATTATATGCAATGAACTCAAAAGTACCGTCGGGCCGTTCTGATTAGCTATTTCACGTTAGTCATTGGTTGTCCTGTCGACAATATCATGTATATCTATTTTTTTTTATAGATTCTATCATTTTTAGAATTAAAAATAAAATAGTAATCATATGTATAAGGTTTTAAATATTTGTTATTATATTAAATGCATATACATATTTTGAGAAATTTGTATTATTTAGAACCCAAACATAATATTAAAATTTTAAAAAATTATCTTTGCAAAAATAATTTTTTGATTTGTATAGATTGTATGTAAAAAAATAAAGTGCTAAATGACCAACGGTACATTTTAGTATCAGGGTCAAAACGTTAAACTGACCAACGATACTTTTAAATACCAAGTACTTAACTCAAATTTGAGCTAAAAAATTTTTTTTTAAAGGTGCACTTATTTATCAATAGGTCAATTACTATATTTTTATGCAAAAAAAAAATGGAAAAATAATTGTAATTCTAAGTTTGGTCAACAAAGGGTTAAGTACAGTCAACTCGCGATATAACGAAATTCGATATAACGAATAAAACTACCCGTCCCTTGAAAATATCGCGGTATAACGAACAAATGTAATGTATTTTGGTCCCCTCGATATAACGAAGCGTTTTTGATCAAAACCTCGCGATGTAACAAATTTTTATAAATTTGGAGCTTTCTATTACGAATTTTTAATTTTAATTAAGATAAGATATATGTCTCTAGTGTATAACTCAATGAAAAATATATAAAAATCAGTATGTTGCTATTACCACATAATAGATTACGAAGTTTTTCTGATGATTATCATGCGATAGTACACTCAACTACAGTATCACAATTAAAATAAGACTTATGTCGATTAGTGGTTCTACGCAAAATGTACGTAACATACTATGTAACATATTGGTACTGTTTAAAAAAAATGACGAAGAAGAATCTTCTGAAGAACCCATCGTAACCTTGAAGGAAACCAAATTAGGTCTTCGCGCCGTCTTAAGTTATTTACAGAGACATGATATTGACGACAATGTGTATTCTAGCATTTTAAATCTGAACAATACTATTGATTAGGTAAACTCAAGCAGTTGCAAACAATCAAAAATATCTGATTATTTTAAAAAATAAAAGCACACATGTATAGCGATTTATTATATGTACATATTAAAAACAATATTATTATTATAACATATTTTTATTAGAAATATTACATACATTTATATTGAAATTAAATAATAAATACATACTTATATGACTCATATATTTTATACATATGTATACGAATAATAACATTTTGAATTTTTGTTTTAAATCATGTTATAACGAATTCAATTGGTATATTCTCTTGATATAACGAATTTCGATGTAACGAACTTTCGATATAACGAATTTTTTTCTCGGTCCCTTGAAATTCGTTATATTGCGAGTTGACTGTATATCAATAAAATTGTTGATATTTGAATGAGCAGAATAAAACTACAATAATAAAATTAATACATACCTAATTATATTATAAATTATAAATTAAAAAAGATTAATACAATTATTTCTGAAATTCTACTTACCCGTTTACTACCGCTTTTATTTAAATAATCTAGTGATAGAAATGAAACATATTTTTCCACGTTACATTCTTTCCATTATGCATCTATAATCTTACATATCCTTTTTGAACACCGTAGCTATTGTGATGTGAGTACTAGGTTTGTCATTGGTTCACAAAATTAATATTATTTAATAAAATCATAATTTTACCTACGATTTAAAAGTCTTGGGATTTGTTGTTGTTATAGTATATTTTATTGTTGAAAATCCTAATTCAGATTTTGATTTAATAAATACTAATAAGTATAACAGTAAACATACTTGATATTATAAAACTTCTTTTTGCATGACTTCAGCATCGCTTTCAATGATTCTTCTTTTGCAGTCTGTTTAATTACTTCTTCCATAATTCTTTCACTGAATAGAACACTTACATCTTCGTGAACTTTTAGTACCTGTGTATCGAAACGTAACAATAACTATTTTTGGAAATATATATTGCATATATTATTAGATACCTATTTATAATAATAATTTTATGTTATCATGAATATTATAGCATAAAGCTAATAATTTTTATAATTTAAATATATTTATTTCTTGAATATTCTAATACATCAACACTTGTAATTTCTTTAGTTAATTTTTTTGAAATATTTCTTATTTATTATTGTAAATTGTGAAAAATTAAGCTGAAGCTTCAGCAAAACGTTTGAACACAGCATCCCAATTCGCAACTTCGAAAATCGCGTTGACATAATCAGCACGTACATTCTTATATTGCAAGTAGTAAGCATGTTCCCAAACATCAATTCCAAACAAAGGAATCAATCCTGTTCATAAAAATATATAAATTAATTTGAGTATTCAAACATTCTATAATGGGTACTGGTTTGTAATTTGTTCGCCTCATTCTAGTTTATTATCGTCTTACTAACTATGTATTCGAAGTATGTGATAAATAATATTCATCAAAAACTCATCTAACGATTTTATAGTTCTAAGAAAAACATACTAGAAACCATAGATGATTGTTTAATCAAATCAATAAAATACAAATTAATACCAAATTTCTTACTATAACCATCTTAGGCAATTGCTCAATATTTATATTTGTCATTGTTTATATATTTAATTAATATGAAAAAATTAATCAGAAAACGTACTGTAACAAATTTACCACCTCAAATAGAACATTCATAACAAATCATTGTATAAGATTAAATACTATTTTTTTTTTTTTTTATATGGGTCTGGTTTTTATAATTTGTTATTAATGTTTTTACTAAATAAAATTATTATTATTATTATTTCTTAAATATGTAATAAAATTTGCATAGATACAACGTTTTA